ATTCCCACATGACCACATCACTGTTAAAAACATTGTCATCTTCCCCGTTATCTTGTAAGACAATATAAGCATTAATATCTTGCGTAAAGTTGGCTTAATTTTAAACAAATAAAAATTTGTAATTTCTGTTTACCAGCTTTGTCAGCTGTGACGATTATCAATCGAATTACATTTTCCTGAGAATCTAATAGTAACTTTAAATGTATAATAGGAGCTTGAGCCCTATCGATAGTAAACGATGAATCGTTTATATGAGCGGTGAGGTATATATCTGCGATTGGTTGACAATTAATATGCAATTTGAGCATATCAACAAAGATTTCATAAAACATTACAATCTTTGGACAATATTCTGGACAATGTATAGCCAAAATGTAACGGCCATCTTGTTTGATTAAGTTGAAATAAATATTAAAGTAAGTTATTTTTGTGATTGTGAACCTAATGAGAAAATACATAAGATGACTAGTAGTCATAGAAAGACGTAAAATACCTTGATCAAGTATTATGTCTGCATGTGATATGCGTGATATACGACCAGATATGAATGGCAATTCTGAACTAATTTTTGAAAAATTCTTCTTTCCATCTTGATAACAGACGTAAACCTTTAATAATCAAGTCGAAAAGCAACTTAGAATCTATCAAGTTGACAATAAATTACTTGTATAATTTTTTTTTCCTTTTTTTTTTACCTTGCCATCTGAAGTGACTGTTAGAAATGCGAGCTCTCCAAATTGATTTCGCGGACCTTTAAATGCACCCCGCTTATATGTTGAGCCAGATACACGGGAATACTATGTATAATATATATAAGTTTCTTATTGGATTCGTTGCATTTTCTAAAATACCGTTCCCAAGTTGCTTACCACCCGAACATAATCAAGCCATGCGAATTCGACAATATTTCCACCCAGATCAACATTATATTTACAATCCCATTGATTTACAAAATTTTCCATCATCCATAAAGCAATTTTACCTCTTTGATCAATTGAAGCCAACGCAGAGCCGGTTTGATTCCATACTAGATCAGTGATTTCATTCTTGTGATGTTCCTCAACACCAATGCCCAAGTTGATCCTGCGGTGCCATCGTCTGAAGGAAGCCTGCATGGATTAAAAATGCCAATGTTTGGAACGGAACATTGGTACCGAGTATCAAATGCATCCTTATTAATAGGCGACCACGCTATCAAATTTTGAGGAGACCACGCGACACGTCTAATATAGAAGAATTGAAATTAGAAATATTCTTCACTCCTATTGTTGCGATTAAGAACTTAAACTAACCTAGAGGCCTTTCTATAACATATTTCATGATATAACTTTTCAACTGCAAATTCTTGTACTTTTGAAGTTTTAGCAATCGGACTAACATCGGTCATCATTGGTATTAGAGATTTGTTCATTAAAAGGAACAAAGCTGTTTATATTTTAATTTTAATTAAGATAACCACGTGAATCCTTTTAACTTTGATTGGACGAGTTTTGTAGAGCCAATGGAAGGCTGATTTAGAGAATGGTTTACTAAAATAGATATAATTTGACATTGTACTCAAATTTAAAGCTGGAGAAAATTAAACTTCTTGCCTTTGAGCATATCTCAATAATATCGTCATTCGCATTATCGTTATTGATGTTTATTTAAATGCTATGAGAATAGCTACAATTACGTCATAATACTTGTGCATTATTATAATCGTATCTAGGCTGGAAACTAATTAGATTAGTTTTGAAGCCCAGCGGCGAGCTGTTACTAGACCCTTCTAATTCATAGGCAGAAGTTTGTCTGATTGGCTAATAAATTCAATTTAATTTTACATTATTTATACAGTTTAGAGTACTTT